TTAACATTAACATTAGACTTAAAATTAATCGTAACTTTACGAAGTTTCTGGCAACGGGCCCCTGATGTTTACCCATAGACACTAGTATCAGTGTATCACTATCACTATCAGCAGTAGTGTGGACTTGCGGCTAGAGATAAGTGACCTGACGCTAATAGTGATAATATAGATATACTCTGTACATATCGGTCTTCTATATATTGTTGTCAAACTATTTCTTACCCCTGACACACGTTCACGGCACATGATCAGAACCACACACTAGAAACACGCCGCTGTTTGGGTTAAGGCACTACCTCCGACCTTAATAATGCAGTCCAGCTGAGTTGTCATTGTAATAGAGGAATGGCTAAGTTTTATATATGCGTATTTTCATATGTAGTTTGAACATTTTTTACTATAACATACAAGACAAAATAATCACAAGCAACTCCGACTAAAAGCGTCTACAGTCGCTACACTTTTTCACAGGATCGGATGCACTCCCGCATGTTTTGCTCCTGGCGCCACCCATTGGCAGTAATCATAGTTATCTACACTGTGCACGTTGATGTTTTGTTATATTGCGAAAAAAAACCTGTCCTGCGCGTTAGGTTTTACTGTAACTTGCAGTAATAGAACAGTCAAGAAGAATTAAGACTTTTTACGATATCAATACATACTTAACATAGAAGGTAAAATAGGCTGTAGACTTTTATACAATTTGGCATTTAGCATGGGTTGTTCTGGGGTACTCTTTAATAAATTTGCTTCGAGTCACAGTAAAGCGACAACAAATAACACATAATGATAATAGCCTACGTTCTATAACACAAACAGTAATGTAAAAGTAGAGTAAGATATAATCAGGAGTCTATCAATATTGATCGATATTGATAGACTCCTGATATAATCCGTATAAAGCTTTGCAAACGTAAATTCGTTGCTAAAAGTAATAGATTTAGTGCCAACAGGTGGCGCTGTTACGATATCGGTATCTGGGTCACTGCTGAGGGTCACTGTTATTCTGTTATTCAGGTCGTATAAAACGGAGGGTAACCAGGAAGTCAAAAAAGATGCACTCCGTACTGTTGCCAAAATAATGACACTGTGCATGGTGAAGCATATGAAATGTATTCTAGTTCATGGTGCAGGGTACGTACTTTAGTCAGTTCATAATTCGAGCTAGTTATGGGAAACATTTCATTCGCTTTGTTAATCGAAGCTTTTACAGTGTACTGCGGGGCTGCCAACATTGGGTGATAGGTGAGATGCCAGGGAGCGAAGCGACCGAGCGGGGGGTGGGTGTGGGAAAATGCACCAATTTGTGCAATTTGGTGCATACTAAAGTGACTGTTTTCAGATATTGTAAGATTTTTTTTGCTGTGCGTGAGATATTTTAGCGTTTTATTCATGCGTGAGATATCTCAGCATTTTTTTGCTGTGCGTGAGATATTGTAAGATCAGCGTGAGAGCGTGAGATTTGGTCAAAATGCGTGAGTCTCACGGTCAATGCGTGAGAGTTGGCAGCCCTGGTGTACTGTAAATAGCCTGTCGGCTGTCGTAGTACAGTTATCTGTTATGTACTCTTGTCTCTTGGCATGCCCTTGGTAGTAAATTTTTGTTTTGGCATTAAAGGTGGCCAAACAGTTTTTCATTTTTTAAATTTCCAAGGAAGAACCATTGCAAGACAGCAGGGCCTGCTGGTGCTACAGCCTTCTGTGTTGCCAGTGATTGGCCAGCACTCTTGTTGCCTTGCCCCAAAATTTTGGCATTTTGTCTTGTCCTGTTGTACACGTTCTTCGATATTAGTGTGTTATGATATCTGAGGGTCGATGGAGCAGAACGATTGTATATTATTATTATTAAATTTTATTGCATGAAATTTAAATAGAAATACATGTACTGAAGACGGTTTTTTCATCGAGAAAAAATCTGACGGATGCAATATAGTGTTGAGCAGTTAAAATAAATATGATTAATTTGCCTATTTGTTTAATTTCAGCTCATTTGGCCATGGGTCAGCCAAACAGTGGGGCTTGAATTTGGGTTGGAAAGGAAACCAGAAAGATCCAGACTATCCAGAACCACTCAATAGAGTGAAAATGGGTTTCTGCATTACTCACAGGGAGGTTCTACTTGTAAGATACCAAGCATGGACTTATTGCACACCATTTCATTAACAAATTAGTTTTAATCTATATTCTAGAATATTAAAAATAATATTGGTTAAACTTAAAAATATATATGCAGCTAATACATAGTACATTTATCTTTTTTTGTTAATAACATAGTAGATAATGTTCTTCAGGTTCTTATAGTAGTAGTAATGAACATGTTACAATTCTAGATATGATGAGTAAATATTAGTTGTTTAATCCTAAAAATTATTCATGATCATTACAGCTCAACCAAATGTTGGCAAGAGAGCTGACAGAGCATGGCGTACAGGCTCTTGCACAATCTGTAAGTATAATTTCATTTCTACATGTAATCAAATTGGCTGCATCTCTAAGTTATCAAAAATTATATTTGTAAACTATTTTGTTGTAACTTTTTGATGAAGTGTAAGTACTAATGTCAGAATATAGAAATGTTTTTTTTAAACCACTTAAAAGTTACATGGTCAGAAGGTTGAGTCGCAGAGATTATTGGAGGGTGTCAGTTGGTAGATTACTACTAGGACAGCTACTATTATTGTATATCGTGGTTGAAATAACAATAAGGTTACATATAATTTAACGCATAATACATTTCTGTGTGGATCATGTATAATTAATTAAGATATTTTACCATTTCACTAGTGTTGTCAATCGGTTGTAATTTCGTAATCGATCATCGGTTGTACCCAAGTAACCGATGATCGGTTACAATCGGTTACTCGGGGTGTTGAATGCCTGCATGTGCGTAACGTCGTGTGCATGTATGTATGTGCTTGTTTAGCCCTGTTTACTGTTTGTTTTGCACTGTTTACTACTGTGTGTATAATACATGTATATACATAGTACAGGATAACTTGTATAGTAGCAATGATATCTCTGATTCTCATAACTTTTCCAAGTTTTCTTGTTCAATTTTTACATTTATTTCGATTTAATTATTAATTTTTTATTTTGTTTTGATGAAATCGATTATGGATTTTGATAACCAAGCGCTTGGTTCGAGCCACTGTTCAACCGATGATTGAGTATAATTGATGATCGTGACATCACTACATTTCACTATTCACCATCTCATTTTTCTGTGTTCACTACACCAATCTTGTGTCTTTCTCTGAGGCTGAGAGCCAATTCCATAATTTTCTAGAAATGTAAAATCTGCAGATTAGGTGGATAAGATAAGTGTAATTAACATGTTATTATTATATGTCAACGTGACACGTCCGACGTTTTTTGGAGCGAATATTTGAAGAGCTTCATATGTTACATCTATTTTTTCTCTCTCAGCCAGTGTCGACCTGGGAGACGGATTACGGAATCGTTGTGAAGCACAGTGCAGAGGTTCTCGCCAGACAGGTGGAGCTTGGCTTCATCCCGCTCCTGCACGGTGACACCGTGTTCGACAGGAGCTGGGGCTGTCACGTGCTGAGCGGAGACACAATCGTAGAGGTCACTATACTTCAATAAGTTTAGTCAACTCTTTAGCTGATAGTCGTACTCGTTTTATTTATCATCAACCAATGATAACAGCGTCTAAAACACGTAAGACAAAAGAAATGAAATAAGTGTGAGAACCATAGTCCTATATGCCCCCCCACCCCAGTCTTTAGGAACGACAAAGACGAAGTAGTGTATGGCATTTCCGACTGCGAAAGACATGAAAAACTATGAACACTGATTGGAAATATAACATATAAGTGAACAAGAAAAGTCATTACAATAGGAACATCGTAATAATCGATTAATGACCTAACACAATCGTAGAGGTCACTATACTCTTCGCATTTCACCCGCATTTCACGTACAGCGTTTTACATTTCCGCATTTTACGTGCAGCAGGGATCGAAATTCACACTAGACCACTAGTCTGGGCCTAATACGTTTTTTCGGTTCGGCTATGAATTCGGGCACAGCAAGGCCAATCTGGTTCTATGTAAAATGGTGGGTGCTGATCATGCACGTGCGTTTATTTAACGTGCGTGCTTGATTTGTTTAAAACCACTTTGGCTAGTAGGTTCGAAAAAATGGCAAGGGGCTCTATCACGTAGCTATCCCGGGTGACTTTTGAGAAAACCATGAGCTTCCAGCCCTCTACATTGATCACGGTGGTTTAATCTGGCATGGTGAAGCTTGGTTGAGTGCATACTCGCCCTTCATAGCTCATTCATCTGCACGGTATATTGAGTACAAGGCAAGCATCCCCTCACTGACAACTCTCCACATGCAAATTGAATGTAGTCGTTTAGTCTCTGCCTAGCATAGCATAGTATTGTGTGGCGTAACTCCAATGTCGGAAAAATTGAACTTAAAGGCATAATAGGCCCATTGATTATGCAAAGTTGACGAATGCTACAGTAACTGGCACCTTCTGTAGTTAATAAGTACATTACCTTATAGCCAAACGCGTATTAGTTTGTCCAATATCATTGTTAATTACTAAGAAATATCTAATTGAAAGCCGTAAATCTGGTAATCTGGCGCCAACGCTAAATTAGTTGCCGAGCAAAATAGCCTCGAATTCGGTTAGGTGACGTCACATGTTGCTACGGGTGTTGAGCAGAGAATTGTTTGTCACGGGATGCTTATAACGACTATTGAGCTAATAGAATGTATCTCTGGGTGTATTCTCGGTATTGAGGCACAAGTAAATAACCCTGGGTGCTAATGAACCCCACCATAGTGTTGGCCCCCAACACAGCCTACTTCATTATCACTAGCGTCTGTGATTCGTACATGGATTCCAGGTTCATTACAATCAGAGCTACTGTTACGTATACAGTTACGGTACTGTACTATCGCTAGCATTGCGTACGGCTGAGCATGCGTGTGAAAATGTCCGGTGCACTATAAATCTATATCACACCCGTTTAGCCGTATGCGGTTTCGAAACTGTAAACAAGTCAGTCAACTGATTTCTTGGACTGCGGATTTCAATTAGACATTTCTTAGTAACAGCAGTGATATTGGACAAACTAATACGCGTTTGGCTATAAGGTAATGTACTTATTAACTACACAAGGTGCCAGTTACTATAGCATTCGTCAACTTTGCATAATCAATGGGCCTATTATTCTTTTAAGTTTTGGCAATCTGACTTCACTCTGGCCGGGTATAAGTGTACGTGAATTAGTTGATGCTACTATGCGTAGTTTTGTGTAAAGTTGTCAGAGATGACTACTGGATGTATTGAGTGGTCGAATGTGTGGAAATTTGCCCCATGCAGCATCATGTGGTGTGAGTGGCTGCATAGCTTTACTGAGTATTAACAGTTCTGCCAACAGGTGTCGCCACTGCAGTAACATGTATTCATTTCTAAGTGTGGGCAAAAAATATGGGATTCTGCTGAGATGTGTGATCGTTCTTAACAACATGCTTCATGCAATTATTTTATAATGTTGTCGCTTTCGTTGATTCAAGAGCATGCTGATTCTTGACATTTCGTCTGCCTGAATAACTTGAAGAAATAATGAATAATCAGAGAATAAGTAACAAAGAATCTCAAACATTTTAGCTAGCCATCAACAGAATTGAGCATATTTGGGTTACTATATGCCAGTGGGTTAATATTTCATCTTAAATTACCAGCTAAACTGTCTATTAAATAAGTCTCCAGTGAATAGGTCCTGTGCGACACAATTACAATGTATAACATATGTACAATGTATCATATACATTAATATACATTTATATACATATATATCAGGAGTCTATCAATATTGATAGACTCCTGATATATATCATATATATATATATATATATACATATACATATACATATACATATACATATACATATACATATACATATACATATACATATACATATACATATACATATCAGTGAAAAAATTTATTTTTTTCTTTCCGGGGCTCTTTTTGCAAAACCCCCCAAAATTTCGGGGGCTACTTTTTCATTTTCCAGGGCTCTTTTTCCACTTTCTAGGGCGACTTTTTTCCAGGGCTGTTTCCTCAAATGTACACACAAGCACTGTGTGGTGTGTGCGCGCCCCCACGAGTGTGTATTAGCTACTCACGTCACACGCACGC